GTAAGTATATTTTCTTTTTTTATATAAAATTTTATATAACTTTTAACGAAATTCAAATAATTATCTACTAATGAGCATAAATACCAAACCTGGATTTCTTTTGTTATGGCAAAACTATCGAGTATATAAAAAATGTTTATTAGGGTAAAGCGGGGTTATATGGACCACTTTTTTTATCAAGATATATTTTACGATGTATGAACATTTTATTAATGAAAAATATATCAATATACTTAGTGACCTTTTTAAAAATGTTCGTAGCAAAAATACAGTTTATAAAAAAGTGAAAACAATGGTATATGTATGAAGTCTGTATACCCAGCAGAAGCAGAGTTATAGCTAATGAAAAATAGATTCTTACCTATTCGTCAAATTCCATATCGAATAATTCAACGTGAAATAATCAAAAAAATGTTTTTTTACTTTTTTTTTAAATTGTTTAAAGAAATCTTTATTTTTGATTTTTAAAAAAGTTTCTAGCATCAAATGTAAGCAAGTTACGCTCAAAACAAAGTTGATCCCTTTTTTTGGTAAAATATAATTATGAATATGATCTGTAAGTTTCATCGGTTTAAAGAGCTTATTTTTGAAAGATACTTACATGAAATCGGCCAATTCGTCTTCCAGTCGAATTGTCTCTTAGGTTATAGATTAATGGAAAGATCACATTTACTTCGATACACAGAACATATTTTTGACAAGTTGTGGAAGTCTTTGTAGAAATATTCAAACAATTAAACACTATCACTATCCGTGTGTCTAGAACTTGAGTCGTCGTTTGTGTTTAACTACCGGTTTAATTGGTGGTAAAGTAGGATATTCTTTTTTTTAGTTGAACATGCGCTACACAATTTTTCCAAATGCCAGTTTTGTTAATTTCTTCAATCACTGTTCTTATATTTTGGACAACAACGTCACTTAATTGGGGAGATTGATTCATTTTCCGCAATTTCTTTTTTACATCGGCCCATATCATTTCAATTGGGTTGAAAACACAATGATATGGAGGGAGCCGTAAAACCGTATGCCCGTGGCGTTCAAAGAGTTTATCTATTACATATTCTTTTTGAAAATTTTGTTGCTTAATTAATTGCAACAATTCCTTTTTGGTACATTTACTAGGTGTTGCCATGCCTTTGTTCTCATATAAATTCTATGATATCTCCCTCTATTTGGAATTTTGGTGTAGAGTCTAGAATGGTATGACGCATTGTCCATTATTATCACGGAATTTGTTTTAATATTCGGTAACAGCTGTTCCGTTGCCCATTTTTCGAAAAGTTCAGCCGTCATATCCTCATGATAATCAGCTGATGACTGTTTAATGTTTTTGGCCGATAATAACAAGGCATTAGGTACAAACCCGCTCTTAGTTCCAGCATGTAGAATTATAATTCTTTTTCCTCTCGAACAAGGAGTACTCAAGCAGCACTTTTTGCTATCATCCATCCAGCCATATTGAACTACATCATGGGTGTCAAACCACGTTTCATCAAGATACACAATGTCTCTATTGTCATCTCGATATTCCTTTATTTTACGTAAATAATGTTGCCTCTGTATCACAATCCTTGTAGATTCCATAATTACCATTCTCTTGTCTAATTTTTTATAACTAAATCCGCATTCTATTAAAACACGCCTCAATGTATCAAGAGATTTATATGCATAATCGGCATATATTTTCAACTTGTCCTGAAGCATTTCCAACGTTGGAACTTTGTTGTCCTGATAAAATTCGTACACATAGCGACAAATAACGTCTTTAGTGGCCTTATCAATCTTTTTAAGGTTTTGTCCAACTCTTTGACGACGTTTAACAGGATGATCACTTACATCCCCAGCTGTAATAACACGTAAAACTGTCGTACGCGCAAGTTTGGTAAGTTCACATATCCTTAACACAATATTATTTTCCGAAAGTGTACTATTTTCGCCTCTTAAACAGGAATATATATTTAGAATAATCCTTTGCGCTTGAATATGTAAGTCCTTATTTACAAATTCCCAATTTATTGGTGTTGGATCTAAAAGAAATATTTTTACTTTTAATTGCTAAAAAAAGCAGATTAAGGGTGAATATTATGACCGAGCATTCCTATACAACGAATTATTAAACTAGTTTTAAATAAGAATTTACATACCTAAATCGTCCGTTGGATTGCCGCTAGTATTCTCGTTGGTATCACATTCAAATGGTCGCCAAAAAGCCATCTTTAATGTATTTACAACTTATTTTCTACTGTCTTAACTCAAACTTAACTAAAACACAACACTACTGTTTGCACAAAAATATTAAAAATATACGTGAACTTGCTGTCGTACACGACGATACTGAATATATCGTTTAGTATGAGAACCTGAGAAGGCATTTTTGACCACATAACGATTAAGTTTGAGCATAATAACTTCCGAAGAATTTGACTAATTACACTTCAGTAGTGCCCGATAAGATACGTAGAAAGTAATAAACCACAGCTGCAATTTGGACAATACCGTTAGTGATCAATTACAAATAATGTTTATATTTCTGAATTATTCGGGTACTGGACCTAAAAATTCCTTAACTTTTATTGAAATTTAAAATTGATGATTAAAAGTATATACATACATAATGCAAATGAAATGTAATGTGCTTATTAATTTGAGAACTAAAAAATGAGACTACAATTTTACTATAAAAATAAAATAATTTATATAATAAGTTTAAAATAAAATAAAATAAGTTTAAAATAAAATAAAATAAGTTTATCACGACGACACTGTTATTGTGTTTATTAAATGCTTGCCGCCTTTGAAACATGAGAAGCAATTTTTACCTGATAACGGCAAAGCCAAATTTGGTTTCAGTGTATGCAAATCTTTCAATAAGATACGTTCAAAGTAATAAGCCACACCAATATCCATGTGGACTAATACCAGGAGTAATCAATAATTAGAATTACAAAGATTTATCTTTATTTCTATGTTCGCCGTAGAATTACTGACCGGACCCCAAAAATTGTTCTTTCCCAATTCATATCATAACAACTTTACTTAAAACGATTTGAAGGATTCTGCTTCTTTAAAAAAATAATTTCATAACCGTTATACATCTTTTTTATGACTTCTGCAGCATAATTTCGGGAGGTTTGCTTACCGTGCACTTTTACAATAAGGTAATTTCTTACGTCATATTCATTGGGCGGTTTATAAGTCGTAGCTTCTTCAGAGTCAATTTCATCAGAGCAGTCAGAAGAATCTTCATATGGTGGTTCTTCCTCTGATTCAGATGAGGAGGATTGAAAAACTTTACGGGTAACCGTTTTTTGTGCGAGCGTTTTTTTTTTTCTAATTTTATTTTGTCGTGCGTCGAACCTCTCTTCCATCCCGGCTGGCTATTGTTAAATTTATTTAAATCGTTATCTTGATCCATTTGAACGTCTGAACCTTGATTTGAATTAGATTGGCCTATCTCTTTGGACATATTGGCATTTGAATCAGATCGTTCGATCTCTTTAGACATATTCTAAGCATCGGGCTGTAACGAATGACGGTAGAAAATCAGCGTCTGTGAATATATCATCATTAAAAGGGCAAATCCCCTCTTTGTCATCCACCTATTACTAGCATCATAATAATATTTTTTAAAAGGATCAAATACTAATAAATCTAACGGCTGTAGCTTGTGACTACAGTAGGGTGGGAATGTTAAGAGGATAATTCCACTTTTCCTAGCATAACCCATAGCCGTTAAATTTAAATGGCTCTCGTGGTTATCGAGCAAAATTAATTTGGGCCTTTGAGGGGTTGGTCTCTCATAAGTGACAAAATGCTTTAAAACATCTAAAAATAGTTCTCCCTGCATCCATCCCGACGATGTGGCATTTCCTTTAGTTCCAATAGGTGCGTTTTTCTTCAACATATGATACTTGAACTTTTTTCTTGGGAAAATTAGATAAGGGGGAATAATTCTTCCTGTACAGCCTACTATAGCACATAAGGTGACTAAAGTTCCTCTTTATGCTGAGTTAACTTGTCCAACTTGTCGTATACATTTGGCTGCGATTATTTTTGGGAGCTTATGAAGAGTTAAACACCCTAGAACAAAATAAATTAAAATTAAAATCAATACATTCATATTTTAAAAAAACTTGACAATAGAAACATTATACAAACCTGTCTCGTCTAAATTATAAATTTCTTGCGGTTCAAGATTATTGGTTTCCAAAAATTTTTGTTTTCAAGTTTTGATAAAATATGGCAACGTTATGACGGTTGAAGCTCGTGACCCGGCTTAAACTAGTTTGCTCTGGCGTTCTAAGGGAAAGATTATATCTCATTCAGAAAAGCCAGTATCAACTCTTTTTTGGCCATCATCTCTTTAGTCCAATTTTCTAAACCTTTTCTAATATTTTTTTGGTTTGCTGTAGCATAATCAAAGGCCAGTTTACGTGCTTCCTTCAGAGTTAAGCCGTAGTTCATCATTGATGCTTGTTTAATGTATTTGGCAAGAGCCTCTTCTTCGGCATTAGAGAAAACCTTCAGGTGTTCATTCTTAGAGGTAAAATTCACATTTTCAAATCCAATAGCATCGGCTTTAGCTTTAATTCTCAACAACGTTGTTTTAGGTATTTGAAACTCTCTTGAAGCTTTTCGAACTCTCAACCTATTTTCTACTACCTCTCGAACAGCGTTCTTCAATTTTCTGGATCAAATGAACGAGTTTCCGTTATTCTTTTACGAATACGTGCCATTGTAACCTGTAAAATTAAAAGATTTTGTTATAACACGTGCGAAAATGTTTGTGGGGTTAACTGGACCAGGACCAAGTAACCAGACTTACAAGTCAACCGCACTGTAAAAAAATGTTATTTAAATATGTTTCATGTTTATGAAACAAAAAATACAACTAAAACTGAATCCCAAAAATCTCGTCGCAAAAATTTGTTAAAAGTAACTTTCCACCTTAAAAAACACCACAATCGACTGCAGACGAAACAACAATTAAAGGTAGAGCG